TTCATACAAGTCATGCCGGTACTCCTTTCCAGGATCTTCATGCGTCCAATAATTTATATGGTCCTTTACCATCTTCTGCATAATCTCATCCTTCTGCATTTCTGCCTTGATCAATTTCTCTTTGATCTCTTTGACAGACCAGCTCATATAAGCCGGAGCAATTATATTCCCCTTCTTAACCTGTTCCACAAATCCCCATCCTCCTCCATCCATCCACTCCATTTTCCATGTCCAGAAATAACTTCCCGCGCTACACCCCTCTGTCCATTTGTTGCATTGATGTCGTGCGAAGTCTCGAGTCAATTCTTCTTTCATAGCAGGAGGAGATTTTGCCCAGCTCTTTTCGTCAAGAACACAACTGTATTCGCCAACTACAATTTGTGTTTCTCCGCCAGATGAGAGATGTGTGGCGCTTGGGCTACAATCAGGCAGTTCGCCAAGTTCAGTAGGGATTTGATGGATTAACTCTTGCGCGCTTTGTGAGCGATGCTTCTCAGCAAACGTGTAGTATTTGTGTGTGTCGATGACAACGGGGTTGCTGGGAACCTTTCCAGATTTCCAGTTTCGTTCTCTGGCCCACTTCAAGGCAGAAGAGAGATCCCATGCATCGCTTATGTAGATGGGCACTTCGGAGTCGATCTCGGAAATTGATTGAATGACGGAGGTGTAGAAATTATACATTCCTTTCTTCCCGGCATCCCAGCATGCTTCGTTACAGAGCTGAATCCCGATTACCCCATCCAAGTCTTTACATTCTTTTGCGATGAACAAAAGCGCCCTTTTCGCAAGCTCGAGATTCTTCCTAGAACTCCAAAGTTCTGCTTTCCCAGTACTGGATCCTGAGTGCATGTCTGTGTTTGCACCTCCAGGTAGGGCGTGGAGGTCCACAAGGACCCCCACTCCAAGTGCGCGAGCCCGAGTGATGAATCCTTTGACTATCGTCCATGAATCTTGATAGACGTCTTTGGCACTCTCAAAAGGTGTACCGACACAGAATTCTGGTCCAAGTGTGAAATACCCGACTGGTAATCGGATACTAGTTCCTTTTGCCGATTTGGCCAACCACCCGAAAGCTTGATCGGTAACTGCATTTTTCCAATGTCCCTCCCATTTTTGACGGGTTGCTTCCACACCATTATTCTTAACAGAAGCAGTTACAGCATCGAGCTCCGAAGATGCACCTCCTACGAATTTAGGAAAGAGCCATGGTTCGAGAACAAAAATCGAACCAAGATTGACACCAAAGTGATAACGATAGCGGAGGAAATCACGGGGGGTAGGCTGAGAGATAGTGGAGGGACGAGATTGATGAATATTATTAATGGGGCGAGCAGAATCCGAAGGGAAAGTCTGAGAAGAGGATGAACCAGAGCGTATATGATCCTTGGCTCTCTGAACGACTTTCTTCATCTTCAATCGAATCTTTTTTGCACGACTGCTAGGTTCGGTCATTTTCGCAAGCTGAAGAAACCATCGGCTTTTATCGTCAAGAGCATATATACCCACATCATCAAAAAAGCAAGTTTTGTTGAGATCTACGAGACGATCGACATTGCTTTCATTAGATAGGCAAATTTGGATCTTTTGCGGCAGTTGTGTCTGTTGGTGAAATTGAAGCCAATCATTTCGATGATCTGAGACAAGGAGGCTCTACGTGGCCGAAAAAAACTGGCGGCATTTGACGGCTCTCATTGTCCCTGAATCATAGATCCATTTCAGATAAGGTGTTGAGGCCTGAAACAGCCAGACAAAGATTCAATTTCTTTATCTCGAAAACGATATTTGATTATCTTTATCATACAGCGAACCCACAAAATGTAAATATAAATTCCTCCTAGAGACTGGTCAATTCCTGCCTATCATTTCGGCTATGTGAAAGTAGTGGCGGTCCGAGCATGGTGTCGCTTATGTAACATTAGTATTTATCTCGTTTATCCTAGTCCCACGAAGTTACACGAAGTTTTCCCTTCTCAAACTTCTGGACACCGTGGATACTTCAATGCACAGAAACAAACTCGAGTGAGGTTGGTGAGACTGCTTCTAGCATCAAGGACGCTGTCGTTTTTGAAATCATTGATCATAACTAAAGTCAGGTTTACGAAAGCTAGTGCTTGCTCAGTACCTACATCACGTGTGATGTACCAAAACTACGAAGATTTACTCAGGGGTACATAGGTTAGAGTGCAAGGTACACGACTTCCTGGCTCCTTATATTCAGCGATTTCAAGATTTATAGAAGTGTCAAAAGCGTTCCAAATGTTGTACCATCAAGTATGAATCAAATTGACACCAATACCACCGTCGTGATGGCTACATCTCTTGAAGAAAAATCAAATCAGGATCCAAAAACAGTGGCAGAAGGGCCGGAAGTCAAAACCAATCATGTTGACAGCACACTGCAAGGAGCGTACTTTGAAGATACTGGCGAAGCTATTACCGAAGGAAGACCCAAAAAGTCACTATCGTTAAGCTTGCTTTTATAGGTCTTGCTGCCAGTATGTTTGTCTTCTAAATGGATGCAACGTCTCTTGGTATTACCCTCCCAGTGAGCCCCTCTAGATTTCTCACCTCCTTTTACCGCATCTATACCAAGCTTCTATCTGCCTACATAAGATTATGAGACTATGCTAATGACCACGCTAATGCTCATTCTTCATTTAAACAGAAGCAGAAGAATTACCTAGCGAAAGCCTACAGAGCTTCTGGGCCAACATGTCCTATACTTTGTGTGGTCTCGTCATGCAACCACTTTGGGCCAGTATATCAGATGTCTTCGGTCGAAGTCATCTTTGTATATATGCATGGAATTCTTCTTCTTCGCCTCAATCGCCTTTGCGCTTGCAAAGGACATGAATACCATTATTGTCGGTCGAGTGCTTCGACAGTTTCGCGGAGGGGGAATCGACGTGCTTGTAGAAATTATACTTTCGGATATTACAACTTTGGAAGAACGTTCATTCTATCTTGGATTACTGGCAATCCCCAATGCCATAGGAAATATCCTTGGACGGTTAACGTAAGTCATGGCGTAATGCGTCTAATGGCGTAATGCGTCTAATTGCGGGGAACCACTCTATTAAAATCTCAATTACTCAACAATCAACTATAATACAATCTCCAGTATCACTTTCAGATTCATCTTCAACTTCTTCTCCAATATCCTCTTCAGTTTCAGTTTCATATTCAATTACTTTCCCTTTCCCTTTTCCTTTTTTCATTGTCTGTACCTTAGTAGCTTTTTCGACTTCCACTACTGCATCACATAATTCTTGCGTAGAAATATGAAAATGACCCTTCAAAACTAGTCTCTTTCCTTTCTTACGTATCGTACGTTTCTTCATAATAGCTCGTAAATTATTCGCATCGTGTTGGTGAACAATACTTTGAGCTCGAAGTTGCTCACTCCCAATCGTCAATTTTCGAATGTATTGACGAACCGGGGTTGAAAGAGTCGTATCATTTTCAATTGTTGAATTTAAAAGGTTATTTGCTGTTTGTAAGATTGCTACATCCGGGGGTGAGCTATTGACGAAGACTTGGTTAAAAATATCAAATTGGGTTGGTTCTTTGGATATTTCGACTTCGGGGGTAAACTCTCGACCCAGTGTACGGAACACTCTCTGTGGATTAAATGGATGTAACCCAGCTCCCCGCCATGCCGATTCGATATTTTGATGATGGCATACGTCGGCTCGAGCTTTAATATATGCCTCCATCCATTCAATCTTTTGTATTCGTACAAGTTGAGCTTGATTCAAATCAGAAAGTGCTGCGGTGAGCCGTTTTTTCAATGGACCGAAAACCGCAACATCAAGTGGCTGAAGCAAATGCGAGGTATGAGGAGGAAGTATAAGAAGTACAATTCGATTTTGAAGGCAGTGAGCTATAAAGCTTCCACTAATATGAGAATCGTGGCCATCGCAGATGAGAAGCCGATATTTGCCACCTGCTTTTGCACGAGTTGCAGGTTCGAAAACGCGTTTTAGCCATTCTAATCCATGAAGATTGCTTGTCCAGCCCTTTGTATTTGCTGAAAAGAACCAGCTACCAAGAACTTCCTTCGGAATCCAATTTTGAAGGACATTTTTACCTTTAAAAAATCCCGAGTGGTGGAAGAATGGATCCATCCGCACAAATACACTCTACCATTGAAATCCACTCTTGACGGCCTGGATGTGCTTGATGTTTTGTACGAAGTGTAGAATCGATAATAATTCGAGTTGATTCCATTGTCCCAATTGAATGTCCAGATTCATCCATATTATATTCGTCTTTCTTCTCAATTCCATAATCCTGAATCGCTTTTTGATACGCGTCAAACCAAGTACTACATGTTTCCCTGGTTGCACCATCCATTCTTACAGATTCAATTCGACGGCCAATAACAACTGTAAGATGAGGATGTCGTTTGATAAATCGTGGAACCCATTCATGACCAAGAAGGTGTTGTGGTGGGAGTTCAAGGGAGTCAAATGAGGGGCAATCCAAATTATAAGTCCGTTTTGAACGTAACTCCTCAGCCAATTCTTTTAACAACTAATGGCTTGGTGAATAGCCGCTAATTGTCAATTGCTTTATCCACTTAAGAAGTACATTCTCTTGTACAGCAGAAAGTTTCTGTTGCGATTGACGTGCTTCAGAACGCGACGAACCCCCTTTGACGCGTCGCATCACAGTATCTTTAGAAAGCCCTAGTTCTTTTGCAGCTTCATATGAAGACTTATACTTTCCATTTTGAACTCCTAATACTGCTTCAGAAAGTCGAGATTCCATTTCCTGCACTTTTAAACTTTTTCGACGGACCATTGTTGAATTGTTGCTTTTTTGATGGGGTGGTCCCCCACAATTAGACGCATTACGCCATTAGACGCATTACGCCATGACTTACGTTAATTGGAGCCATTTTTAGCAATTATACAAGCTGGAGATGAATTGGATGGGTGAACTTGGCAATATTAGGTATTAGCGTGCCTCTTAGGTTGGGCCAGCTCACTTTTCCCATGGAAGTCGTGGCAAACGCTGCTCCTAATACTTCTAGATGCCGGTCTACTTGTTCTATTTGTGGTATATGAAGCTAAGCCCAGAGTGCCTATTCTATCTCATCGTCTTTTCCACTCTAGGACTGCAAACATGACCTTGGCGGCGGCCTTCGTTCATGGCATGAATTTGATCTCGCTATTACAGTATCTGCCATTATTTTCTCAGGCCGTGGAGCTCGAGACAGCATTCCGATCTGCGGTCTCCTTAATTCCCACCGTTATCGTTAGTGCAGTATTCGCAGCCATCTCGATGATGATGGTCTCGGTCGTGGGAAGATATGTATGGATTGAACGATTTGGCTGGATCATCATAATCCTGGGAACTGGATTGCTAGCAATTTTGACATTGGATCTTCGTCATCGTTGCTCTTTGACCTTCCAATTCTTTGGGAAATGGGCGTGTCGTTACTGCGTCTTTTTCTGCTTCATATTCAGGCAAGGGTAAAATTTTTTGATGATACCGGCTTGGCAATCGGATTGTTGCTGACTATTCGAATGTTTGGAGGTCTCATCGGACTTACGGTTGCCTCAACGATATTCAATTCTATGCTTTTTACTTCCATTGCTTCTATTAACTTGACAGAATCTCTTTCTTAGCTCAACAACCCAAGTAAAGCTGTTTTCTTCATTCCAGAGCTAAGATCTCTGGACCTATCCCCGAAGGCCCTGAATGCCGTTGTGAAAGTTTAGATTGGATGCTTTAAGACAATTTGCTATACGATGGCGGGGTTTGGAGGTCTGGGTCTTGTTATTTCTCTTTTAACTGAAGACCTGGACTTGAACAAGAAGGATGTCGGCCAACAGCGGTTTGAAGAATAATGCGCAAAACCTGTCTTAACAATCGTGAATTCAAGGGTTGGATGCGGTAATGTTGACGTAAGGATAATTAGATCTTAATTAATACGAGTTCATTGAGAGAGTCTTGATATTTGGAGAAAGAACGCATGATAAGCGCAATAAGGTATCGCATCACGTGTGAAAGCTTGGCAGGTGCGACTCGATGCTTCTTTCCCAGTTTGATTATTTTGTTCTGCGGTCGCTTTACTTATGATTCCCTTCACAGTTTCACAGAATCGTTCATTAATGCTGATAAGAGAAGTACGCAACGCAGCAGGTAAATTACAAGTTTGTCTCTTTTATTCGTCTCAACAGTAGGGTAGAATGGTAGACGATAAGTTCCAGAACTCTTCTCACATTCGAGGTGGTCTCCTTGACCTCTTAGGTTGCATTGAGGCTGACACCCACGTGATGCTGACAAGGTGTCATGCACGAAACATTTCGAGCATCGCAACATGATGACAACTGCGACGAGTGTTTCTAATTGTCCAACTCTAGGATAGTCTGTAAGTCCTAGGAATGTCACATATTATTTGAGCAATTCAACAAACGGAGCTGCGAGAATGGCGTCTGTTCAAGAACCATCAACCAGCTTCGTAGCTTTGGCGAATCAGAATGAAACTTTATGGAAAGAAGCATATGAAAAATTCAAGCACGAAGACTCAGGTTTATACGAGCGATTGCAGTCGATCATAGACAAGGATTCCAATGTCAAAAACAATGTGGGACAAGAACAACGACTTGGCGACTTACTTCTTAGAAAGCGTCGTGTAATGGAGGACAAGCAATGGGTATTACATTGGCATAAGAAAGCAATCAAAATTGGATCACAGTTTGATAATTGTCAAAATCTTCAAATTAATCAAGCCAATGGGAGACAAGGCCGCTGGACTTGACCCCGTTCATGCAGGATTCCCATGGGCCTGCGTGTCAGTTTTATTACCAGTGAGTGTGGTATCACTCTCTCTCCTGACCGGAGCTGATTTTTATAGCTCATTTTGAATCATCCCGAAGAACAGGAGGCGGCATTAAATGGGCTGGAAAAGGTTGTAGAGATCGTCCAACAATTTACGTCTCTCAGCTGGGACTATCTCAATCTTTCACAATTCAAATCGGAGAAGCAACTGAAAGAATCGATTTTGACTCTGTACTGGAAGATACTTCGGTATGAGGCGACTGCAATCAATAATTTCAACAGACATATAATTGTGAGATACGCTGCATCGATTGTCAGGAAAGATGAGTGGAAAAAGTTGCTCGGCGAGGTCGAAGATAACAGGAACAATATTATGAGCAATCTACAACTAAATGACTCGCAAAATCAGAAACGATTTGAAACCGAACTACGAGAGCTGATTCTACAGCTAGACAGAACCGATGACAAGAACATTGAAGTCATTCAATGGGTATCTGATAAACCATATATTTCACAACATTACACTGCTCGACAATTACTCTCGCAGTACCCATATGCCGGAGAATGGATTATCGAGAAATATACAAAATGGCTACATCATGATGGAGCGCCTGCTTTTTGGCTACGAGGGACTATTGGAACTGGAAAGACGTCAATCATGTCTACCATCATTGAATCGTTCTATTCTGATGTAGCCAGACAAGATGATCATCGCATGATTTATTTCTATTGCATCTCACCAACAACACCAGATGACGTTATTCGAAGTCTGGTATCCCAGCTAGCATGGACTTTAGATGGCAACGCAATAGAATCAAGCATTCTTGCCATGTTTACTGATGCAAAGCCACCTAACGCTACTATACCGATGACCAAGGAGTGGTCCGCCGCGCTTCTAAAGTTGTGTCAACGACTTAGTAAAGTCATCATCGTCATAGATGCCCTTGACGAATGCGTTGATTTCAGCAAGCTTCTAGCAACATTGAGACAGCTTCAGGTCAGGCAGCTTGATGGTATCAAGTTTGTTTTCTCAAGTCGATTGAATGTCGATGTAAACAAGGTTTTTACTGCATCTGACGGTGTTACTTTGACCACCGAAGATACATTGAAGGACATGTCCGCGTACATTGGAAAAGAAGTGAGATCCAAAGAGGAAGACATTGATTCTAATGACGAGGAAACTAAGCGACAACTCATGGATCAAATAGTGCGAGTACTATCAAATTTTGCTGGTGGAATGTACGTTTGATGCCTATCCGACGCATGCAGAGTGACTGACGCAATCTTAGGTTCAAATGGGTCACCTTACAACTTGCAATAATGTTTCCGATCGAAACTCAAACATTCTTACCGGAGAATATTGAGATCCAGCTGTTGGATATCGAGAATCGGAACACTTCCTTGGAGCAATCCTTAAATAGCGCATATGAAACGGTATATTTAATTAACACAAAGCCAGGAGCTTACAATACTAGCGTCTTCAAGTCAGTTTGCAAATGGCTATTGTGCTGCAGAACTGCACTGCCCGCAGACGAGGTTCTCAGAGTCATTGAGCTGTCGCTTGATCATGATCCTAAACTTCAGAGAATAACACGAAGCCCTTTGAGCACAAAAGTTGTGTTGCATGTAAGATAAATCTTGGATGATGGCGCAGCATCGTAATAAACACTAACCTGGTTTCAACTAGTGCTGTAGCAATTTTGTTATCCAAAGTTCGGAAGGCAATTTTCGATTCGCCCACTTATCGGTCGAGGAGTATCTTACCAATCATTGCGCTGTGAAATCCGAGTTCCTATATGAAGAATGCCATCTTTTCGTGATGAAGATCTGCCTAGCTTTCATGGCGCAAGAAAAGAATAATTCAGTTGCAGAACTAGTGCTCAAGCAAGGTTCAAAGGGGTTTTTCATGAGGTGCCCGGCAATAAAACTGAAGGGGGTGATTTTCAATTTTCAAACATATTCCATCTCGTATTGGGCTTATCACGCCAAAGAATCCATACCGGAAAGAAGATGCAGAGAACCTCTCTACAAAAGTTTTGTTCTTGGTGCCAGGCTGAGCCCTTCATTACAGTGGTGGTTCTCTCAAATCGACGATTATAACTATTCAGGAAGCATGAAGAACCAGATCGCGGAGATTGCAGAAAAAGTGCTAAGAAATCCTCCAAAACGAGATCAATATCCGTCCGAGAGTCGTCTTAGAATGCTAGGGGCAGCCTTCAATCTTCCTGAGATTTTGGAGAACGGACTCAGCAATTGTAAGGAAGAAGTCGATGCCTCATTACGTTTTGGTCTTACCCCACTTCTTGTGGCAATTAGACATTGCAGCCCTGATTCAGTGAAGTGTCTTCTAGACCTCGGAGCTAACCCTACTCTAATATCTGTCACTCATAGAGACCGCACAAGATATGGCAATTTTGGCAGGCCAATTGCTGATGAAGACATGGTGTACTGGGCGACTGGTAGGGGTGGTCACCGCCAAAGACCAGTGAAAGGACATTTGCAGATAGAAAATGTCCTTCTAAATCACGAGAAGAGTCGAAACCATTTTCTTGATCAACTCGAAAGGCATTTGAGAGCGGACACCCATCCTGATCCATCGCGAGCTTTGAATATTCTTTATAGAGCTTCTAATGAGGTACCAATATCCGCAAAGATTTTTGGGTACAGAATGAAAGCCAGAGGTCTGGGTGAGCTAGCTCAAATTCTTGATCTCATAGACGAAGAAACCTTTGATGAAGAAATGGTAGCGAGTATTGTTCGTCATGATTCTTGTGAAACCGTAAAGAAGTTTTTTGAATTCAAACACGTCGACTCGATCACGGAGCAAATGGTCAGGAGTGCTCTCAGAAGCTTTGACTCAAACACCGTTGCATATCTTATGAAGCGATTCGGTCATGATACCCTAACACGAGAGATAGTGATTGATGCAAGACCTCATCTTCATGAGGTTTGGAAAGTAATACTTGATTTGAAGGGAATCCAGTTCGTCGACCAGGAGGTTTTCAATTCGATGTTCGAAAATCGGGTGGACCTCAAAGCCGTTAATTTTGTTTTGGATACTTGTGGCACTGAAATGATGGGAAGTTCCCATGTTGAACTTATAGCCGGTTCACTGTCATATAATCTTGAGGATTTGAATGCCATTCTTCGCATACGAGGATCTTTGGATGATTTGATCACAGAGGAAGCAGTTTTTCAAGCTTTCCAGACTGAAAAATTCGACATGGCAAATTTTTTACTGAAGAATGCAGAGGACCCTTCATCGTTATTGACCAAGCGGGTCAAAGACATTGCTTACCTTGATGGTGACGCCGGGATGCTGATTCTTGAAAATTTTATCAAGAATACTTGTGATTGATGATTGCGATTGGAAGTTCTGCAGATTGTACAATTTGAAGCTGCGCAGAGAAATAAGACGGACTAATTTGCTATTCACGGAAGGGTTTTAGGTGAATTGAAATTTCACACGACAGCAGTCGATATTTTGGCCCTCAAGCAAGAGGTCTAAAGAGTCTGGACTATAGTCCAATAGTTCAATTTTTTTTGGAACTTTGAAAATTTGGAAACTTTGAAGTGCTGAGATTGTTTCAGATATTGATATAGTTTGGTGGTTAGGTTTCCGAAAGAATTCACTTATGGGATTGATAACAGCATTCTTGATATCTAAAAATTATTTTCTTGAATTGAACTACACTCCAGACTACAAGAAACATTTTCCTCGCGTCCCTGTGTATCATTAACCCAGCCCATTTAGATGCCATGAGCCCAACTCCCTTTATGATTGAGTACTAGCTTGTACACCACACCTCTATTTGTTTAGTACCACTCTATTAATCAACTTCAAATACTCCGACACTAGCTGTAAAGAAGACTATCGAAAAAGATGGTCTTACCATGCCTTTAAACGAGCTCGTTTCTGAATTTGACACTCTTATAATCCTGCGCTGTATGGAACTACAAATAGCCTAATCTAATATGTCATAGCTTATATCTCATAAGATCACGATCTTGTAATTAAGACGCAGGAAGAGCTGGATGCCGTTGTGAAACACGACCGACTTCCAGTCCCAAATGACAAGTCCAGCTTATAGTACGTCACTGCGATTGTCGAGACGATGATACATTTTCCCTCTACTGTTTTTGATCATGGGAGGTGAAAATATCCTAGGCTGCATTTGTTTGTAATATCATCTCGATCGTCGTCGCCTAGCTACTGTTATCATTTGATATCAAGTCTGGCTTGTCTGACGAGATAGGTCAATTCCAATTGATACCCCTGCATGCACCTACGGCTTAGTTTGATGGATATCAAAAAGCTGATTATAAGGATCCTTGAAACTTCGAGAATGTGGATTTTGAATGTTCTGAGCAAAGCCAATTGGAATCTATTGTGAACGATTTGAGTGGTGTAGCGGGTGTATTGATATTACTAGCGGGAAAGTGAAACATGATATATACATCCAAGGGATATGTGTGATACGGGAGTGAGTGATTTTAAGGATAAGAGTCATGCACCTTGGTGATGGATCATTTGGCGGGTGGTGAGTGTCATGAATGATCAAAGTTAAGCTTAAATACTCAACACGGGATTCGAAACCCATCCGTTTCTCCCTTAATGAGTTACCTCCCATATACCGAATCATATATTACCAATATCCTGCCAACAGTGACTTTTTGCAGGGGCGTAGACAAATCATTTTCCTCATGCAATTTTTACTTTCTATGGTGTCAAGTGCTCTTACAACATTTGAGCTCCTTCGCATCATATACTTGTGTAGAATGAAACCAATCGTTTGAATATCTTTCGAACCTCGTGTCTCTGTACTCTAGATCTTCGAGCATTGGGCCTTGTTGTGTAGATTGTATTCCAGTCCAATTTATACGTCTCAATTGATAGATGCCCACTTCACTTGAAAGCTTGAACAATCAGGTATCCCTAAAAAAAACACAAAAAGTTGTCCAGTCGAAATTGTTCATCATATAGTTGATTATTTTGTTGTAATTTATATCTACAACCGACTGACCTGGCCAACTTTTGAACCCAGCCATTACGCCAAACACCATACTCATAATCACATATTGATGATCATGCACAAGATATTCCTTACTGTTTCCATCCAGCAAAATCTATTCCTCCATAGCCTCATCTTTTGAAGAACTATCTCCCCATAATCCCTCCAACTTGAATTCTTCAGCCCACTCCTTAACAATCTCCTTTTGATCACCCTTGACATCCTCACCAACAGTGGCACCAGCAATCTTTTCTGGTGCGATGGCCAAGACAGGTGCATCCATCCATCCTTGAATTCTACCATCTCTCCAATCTGTGATGACTGTTGTAGCAGCACTGCTGATATTTGGTACACCGCCCTTTCCAAGTCTTCCTCTCTTTCTCGCAACTTGGATCAGGAAATCCGAAGTCGAATCGCCATTGACGGAAACCAATGGTGGTAATCCATAGACATCCATAAGTTTGTTGAGCATATCTTGGGAAGCGCTTAATCTTTTTAATAACAATGTGACTGCGGGCACAGGGTCCTCAATTTGCTTGGGAGGAATAGCGTTAAGGAGAACAAGTCTAGCTTGCTCTTCAATTTTTGAAGCCTTGGAGTTATCACCAGCGGTTGGGAAAACAATACCAGGAGAATCGAGTAAGGTCAGCTTGCTATCGATCTTGACTGATCGGAGGGATGTAGTAACACCGGCTTCGGCACCAACTGGGCATGCAGCACCAGCACCACCAAGACGAGATGTCAGGGCATTGATGACAGAAGATTTTCCAACGTTAGGATATCCAATAACACCAACAGAAACTGAACGCTTGAGTTGTTTTGCTGCGGCAAATGATTTCAAGGCCTTGAAGAGTGTTTGCGAAGTACTCTTAACTGTCAATTGACTGTGATTGAAAGTATGTGCGTTTGCTGCTGGCCCAGAAGCTCGTAATGGTAAGGTTGGGAAATATCTTCGGAGGTGAATGAGCCATGCCTTGAGGACTGGAGGAGGAATAAGATCAATTTTGTTGAGAATAAGAATCAATCTCTTTCCACCACTTGCAGCAGCCATAACCATACGTTCGACTTCTTTCGATCGGGTACCTTCGGGATCGCGAGCATCGAGAACATATAGAACAACATCTGCTTGATCAACAACTTGCTTGAAAACCTTGTCGAAAGCTTTTCTGGATCCATCTTTTCGTGTAGGTAATCCGGAGAGTTTAACACCATCGAATGCATCATCCTCTTCCGATTCGGAATCATCATCCTCGTCCATCTCATCTCCACTAACAAGGTCGTCTTCGTATTGCGCAGCAGCAGCTTTGGCACTGGCAAGTAAAGCTGCCATAGGATTAGAGTCGTCATCATCATCGTCCATATCCTCGTCCTCATCCATCAGCTCAATGTCCTCCTCATCAACACCTTCCATTCTAGCCTCGACCTCTCTCTCAACTTGTTCACCAGTCTTGGTGGCCTTCGCATCAGCTCGTCGTTTCGCAGCCTCTTCAGTCTTCCTCCTTCTTCCTTCCTCAATTTCTTGCAAGATCTTATCTTTATACGGGAACAAATTTGGAATTCCAGGATCCTTCTTTAATCGCGATCGCCATTCTGGATTTTTCTTTCCCTCTTTACGAGCTTTCTTTTGTTTTGCGACTGATGCTTTCTCGATCTTGTGACGAAGACGCACTGGAACACGTTTACTCTTTGGCTCTGGATTGCAAATCAATTAGTTATTAAATCCTTCGATAAATGACAACACACTTCATTCACTCACTTCCGACTTTAGGCATCTTGAGTACTGTTGTGCAATTCTCAAATAGATGCTGTTGTTGATCTCAACTGTAGTATTTTCGATAATGGAATTTTTCCATTTTCCAAATCCTTATCGCACTAAAATTAATTTTCTAATCCATCAACGCTAAGCCACTTTCTCTCTAGCCTCTCTCTACTAATCCCAATCACACAGCTCCGACAACAATGTCACATGATTCCGCCCGCTTCAATGGAGATGAGCACACTCCCTCATTAGACGCTTCTACTTATTGCTTGTGCTCCCCGCCCACGTCAACTTCCTTCACCTTGAATCAGAATCAAACATTATTACTTTCCTTCATTCCTCATTCTCTATTTAATCTTGCCACTCCCCAAGAAACCTTGCAAAAAATTCACTCGACGATTTAACAATCACGAGGTCTGAATCTATCAACAAAAAAGAGTTTTGTTGCATATCTGATTTGAGGAGGAGAATTGCAAAATTTTAGTCGGATTTAGACGGGTTAAAGGGTCTCTTTCGCCAATTTCACATATCTCAACGTCCACCCCACCGATTTTGTTACGGCTACTTGTGTTTTGATCATCGCGATCTTCTTATTATATTGGATTTAATTATCTTTGTAACAGAAGAGATCATGGGCTCTATTCCGAGAGAGTTTTCTGCTCCACCTCAAAAAGTGGTCTTTAAGGGGCTACTTTTCGATATGGATGGTACTATTATTGATAGTACCGATGCTATCGTTAAGCATTGGCATCAGTAAGATTTTTTTTTCCAATAACGACAATAAGAGTTTTTGAATAACAAAAATGCCAGGTTAGGTAACGAAATAGGAGTAGATCCTAATGTGATTTTACAGACAAGTCATGGAAGGAGAAGTATTGATGTCTTGAAGATTATTGCTCCAGAGAAGGCAAATTGGGATTGTAAGCTCTTTTTATTATCTTCTGCTAGTTTTGAACCTTCAATCGTCCATCTCCTGTCCTCATCCATTATATCTCTCCTTGAATTAGCAAGAAGTCTTTCGCTGGATTTGTTCCCATATTACCTACTAGCGAGGTCATGAGAGAATGCTTCGAAACCTAAGTCTATTTCTTGAGTCTTATTCTATCCGAAGGCGTGACGGGGTTAGAAGAGATTGTGTCAATTCTCAATCCGAGTGGAATCTATATTGTAGCTAGATCACGAGTGGTACTGAAACTTATCGAGCGGTCAACCGTTTTCTGGCTCTTCTCCATGCAAATTTGATCCATTCAAACCCTCAAGGGTATCTCGCTATAGTTCTCCTTTTGCAACTTCACGTACCACAATCAGCACATCAATCTATTCAACTATACCCTCCCCAATTTCCAACCCCCACAATCTAACACCCCACCCAGACATAAAGCACATGGAAGGACTCCTTCCCAAAAACTACGGTGACGACGCTGTCGAAATCCCCGGCGCTCGCTCCCTCCTCTCCTCTCTAACCAGCGCCTCCCACCCCTGGGCCATCGTCACATCCGGCACCTCCCCCCTCGTAACCGGCTGGCTCAACGTCCTCAAACTTCCCATCCCAGAGCATCTCGTCGTCGCAGAAGATGTTCCAAATGGAAAACCTGATCCAGGTTCGTACCTCTCCTCTATCCTCTCTTCGAAACCCCAATCCCCCAAAATACTAACACCTCTCCCCAGCCTGCTACAACATGGGTAAATCCAAACTCGATCTCTCCTCCGCCCCTGATGGCTCCCTCCTCGTCCTCGAAGACAGTCCCGCTGGTATCCGCGCCGGAAAAGCAGCCGGATGCAAAGTACTAGCTGTAGTAACTACACACACCATAGAACAAGTCGTCGAAGCCGGCGCCGACTGGGTTGTGAAGGACTTAGAGAGTGTGAAAGTTGTTGGGAAAACAGACGAGGGTGTTGAGTTGGAAATTTCGAATGC